GCCCTTCACCCTGACCTGCGAAGCGGCCCGGCGCGCGGATCCTTACTCGAACTGTCAACACACCCCGCTAGTTCAGACTCCTCCGACTACTCTCCATTCAGGTAGAAAGTCTGGGGACAGATGCATACTGGAGGCGTGACCATGTTGTTAACGCGATGTGATGACGTGCGAAACTTATCGTCTCTTCTCAGCCTCGCAACTGGGTTACGTCTGCCTTGCTGACCATCGACCCCATATGCTTACCATGAGCCATCGTATTCGGTCGCCGGCACTGTCCTTCCGCGGCGGGCCGTTGTGGCGTTAGGATCCTGAGAAGTTCTCGTATTTGCGGTGGAGAACACATAGTTCAGCAAGCCATGTCTGTGGGAAGGTTGCCTTATTCGCAGCTTAACGGCTGCTGCAAGCCGTCCGTCAGCCGGGTATGCAAGCTTCCTGCAGCATCGTCCGGAAACGTTCGTTCTTGACTTCAGCCACATATTGTTAGTTCCCACGGCATGACTGGGGAAGAATGCTTCCAACTGCCTCGAATCAGCTCAAGTCTCACACGCGCTTTGGTTGACGATTTTAGTTTCGAGTAACTTGCCTAGGAGTCATCTTCACCAGTCAGACCTCTGTTGCGGTCAACAAGGTAGTCTAGAGTCACGCGCCTACAGGACCTCCTCCGTGGAAAGGTATCCGGATCGCCATGGTCGTTGGCCCCTAGCGTTCATCAGCGGTCTCGTGTTCGCGTTGTGGGGCGTAAAGATGTCGAGCGTTGGCCTCGGCAGATTTGCAGGTGTATCAATACCACCCTTTCGCAGCGTCGCGTTAGCCGCATCAAGGGTAGTTATTTACAGTGACACGGATGGCCCCTGCAGATGGGCGCTTGGGTGGATTTCATGGGGAAAGCAAGGCTAATCAGGCAGGTTGGACGTCCCTGCGCTGTGTGACGTCACTTTGCTTTTGGTTAGAGCTTTGCCGATCGAGACCGAGCCGAATTTTGAGGTCTCCCTCCACGTGTTCTGGGGTAATCCAGATACCTGGTACGGGGATGGCGAAGTCGATCAGGGAGCGAACTAATATAATTTGTAAACGTCGGGCATCATTCGACGACACTTTACGCCGTCGGACTGCGACGGTTGCGAGCGTCCTTCAGAAATACTTAGGTGATCGAGCTATCGTCATCGTTCCTTTTGTCCAGGAGTTTCATCATGAGTTATCCATCTGGGGTGTCGGTTGGCTTTATTTAGCTTTCTTGCCACACTCCCAGGCTGTTACTACTGAAGGGGCTGAAGATCAGCAGTAGTTCTTATTTCGCTCGTTCACAATCTCCTACCGATAGTGGTGATTTTGATATAGATCAAAGAACAACGCAAGCGATAAAGAGTCTGGTGGTGCTCCTGGACTAGGCTGATCTCCTTTCTGTAACGTCTTTGATAATTACTAGCGCTCAATTTGCCATCATCATTAAGAGTGCGAGACTAATGTTTGTCGTCCGCTTGGAAGAACGTTGACGTGAATAACAAATGACTCGAACAAACAAGACGACGAAACGAGGTAGTATACGAACTGTCACTAGAGTACACAGTATTTTTGGATGTTTGTTCCGGATCTGGGCATATGAGTCGAAAGGCTAAATCCACTTTTCATGGCTGTCCAGTGTTGTTGCGCCGCTCCTTCATTGTACAGGAGACTGATGTCTGGGGCTTATTGGCTAGTCTGATACTGTAAAGGTTTATTGGTGTCTGCTTTCGAACAGAAGTGTAGCGCGCGGTATCTCGAAAGTTTGCGATGACAAGATCATGTAGAGTCTCGCGCTCTCGTGACCCGGCCGATGCGCCGGAGAGCAAACCCACGACAGATATATGAACACCAAGGGCTGCAGTAATGAATAAGACAACTGTACCTTGACTGCTTACCAAATGGCGCAGTCAATGCGTCGGTCTACTCTCGTGGCGATACCCCGCTCGAGTATATAAATAAGCCTACCATCCGGGACCAAATTGAGTCTCTAATACACAGAATAATCGACTGCAAGTGCACTTACCGGACTTACCCACAGTTCTACCAAGTCTACCTAGCGCGTAAGTATTCAGTGGGTTTCGTTCTTCTTTGCAAGAGCTCATCAAGGACTGCGGAGGCTTCGATGATCTAAGTGCGCAACCCACGCCCTTCTACTACACACCGAATCCTGCCTCACTTCACCTTCAGTATACGTACGCCATTGGAAAGATTGCTGATAGTATCCAGGACATGGCGAACACTCCGTTTCCGTTCGAAAGACTACCAGCCGAGCTGCGCACTGCCGTGTACAAAAACCTCCACTGTACCACAAAGTACGCAATAGCGCGACGAGACGATATCAGAACGCCGGTGGTTGTCGTCAGGTTCTCTTATATCGAACGCGCTATAGTCGCTGTGTCAAAGGCAATCCGAAACGAAGCTGAAAAGGTCATCGACGAGGAAACCCAGAAGTGTGGCCCGGCTCAGCTCATCGCAGACTGCGATTACTTCCACTTCGTCCCTGAAGTCCTTGCCGATATTCGAAATGCCCGACAAGGCTATGTCCCACCGAACATGGGACTGGCCGATGACGAGCGTGAGAATTTCGATACCATATTCACCCGCAGAAACCTAGTCGAGCAAGTTCGGATGGACGCGATTATGTATCAGATGTGGACGCGCCTCGCAAATATATACCTCAAGACGAACGAGCGAATCGAGGTCGGTGTCTGGATTGGGAACGATGCCGCTTGCGAGAAATTTGTGGAACTGCTCCCCTCTGCCATCGACGACATCATCAACCCCCGCTGGGACACGGCCGACTCCGGCATGTATCGTCCCAAGTTCGCGGTGACAATTGAATGCTCAGAAGAGCTTGACGCGGATGTTGAAGAAATTGTTCAGGATTTCAAGGATGCGCGTTTCGAGGTTAGCGAAGAACTGGAACTGGAAGAGATGGAGTCAAGATGGAGCCTCAAGACCTTTGACGGAGTTTTTGAAGAAGAGGAGCTGTCGAGCGACGAGTCCAGCGAAGATTCAGATGACGAGTTGGATTGAAGCGAGGATGAAACAATGGGTGTGGAATAAATGTGAAATTGGACAACGCGATAGATAGAGAAAACAAGATGGGCTACCAGAGTTGATTTGACGTCTGAACATACAGACAGCACCCATAAATGGCTACATCTGACTTTTGACATAAAACACGCTGTCTATACATCGGCGGTGAAGTGTGAGTGGTGAAAATGAGTCTCAAAGGTTGGAGCTTGGCAGGTGCTAGCCAGCTACCGACGCCAATCCACCTAGCTCCCCGCCTTCCACCAACCACCTGCATCCCCCACGCAACTACTCTCCATCGGGATCGCGATCGCTCGTCGCACGCGACTACTACAAGGCGCGTTGTATCGCGCAACCAGCCTCTCTAGGATACGCCAGCTGTATACGATATCGAAGGAAAGTCGGCCTTTGTCGCAAACAGCTATGCGCACCTGCTGCATACAGTGCGATCTCAGCGAGAACGACCACCGTTACTCCCCAACACGGAGACTTTATGGAACCATACCATTGCGACATGCAAGCGTTGCGATGCATCATTGCCAGCTGGGAATAGCCAAGCGTAGTGGGTTCCACTCGCCCGAAGTTTCGGCGAACCGGCATCAGCGCGACCGCATGAAGGACTGCGTACTCAAACATCATTGGCCATGGCGATGTACCCAACGAGCAACACTTTGGCTCATGACAACTCAATGATTGTAGTATCGTATCTGTCGTCCTCTTTAACAGCGGCAAACGAATCATGGACATTCCCGCTACCGGGACATGCCGTAGCATGGGAGAGAAGCCCCTATTTGTCCCACATGGAGCAGCAATTCCGTTCGCGCCGCCGTCGTCACACGCTACTTCATTAAACGCGCAATATAAGCGTAGCTGTTTGGCAAACCTCCATCAATCAGCGAATTTACAATTCGCCTCAAATTTGAGCAGCACCTCAACAACCGGGCTTGTGGTTTAGTGGTATAATACTCCCTTAGCATGGGAGTGGTCCAGGGTTCGATTCCCTGCAAGTCCATCTTTTTGCGCTCGTCGCCGTCGCGGGGTGGCTGTATGATGCCGCCGGCGTTGATTGCTGAAGATGAATTTTCGATTTTTTGACTATGTAAGTGGATTGTGCGCACGCAAACATCGGTTGAAGGAGCAAGTGGGCAAAATACTACTCACAGTCTTACGACGCACGCTGTACTTCGCTCCAATTCTGGGTATGTGATATAAGTTCCGGTACCAATTCGCATCACGTTGGAACGATTTTACAGTCCACTTGCTACTCGAAGCAATACAGGCCCAAGGAAATGACATGGCGATTGGTGTTTGAACGAAATTGCGCGACTGGAAGCCAGCCATCAGTCGTGCAGGTGCTTCAAAGTGCTTGTTAAAGCTATCAAAGGGTCTCAACATGCTCAGTACACCATGGCTTTCTTCCCAAGCGTTGCATACGGCTTAACGTTGGAACATTCGCGTGTTCGTGATGGTATTGCTGCTGTACAAAGCACTCACAGCGGGTTCTGGCAGCGCCATTGTTGCGCAGCTTCTCGAGCGGACCTCGGAGTGAATTACGAGACCATGAACGTTCGACCGGAGCAACTGTGCTGCAACCCCGAGTCCAAGAGAGGCATTCCACTCTCCAGTTGCGGGAGTTTGCTAGGATACGGAGGATGTTGATCAACATCGGACCTGAAAACGAAGCGACTATCCCCCGTTAGGAGTATATTGATTACTGACGAGTAGCATACACTCGCTAGTTTGTCTTGCAATCATTACACCGAGTTTTCGGGGGACCAACTACGCACCAGCGAGACACTACACCATTCGGCCGAAAACTCGGCCTTCCCTCTCGTATAAGAGAAACAACATGCGCGGTAGATGTATCATCACAAGCACTTAGCAACACGAATCCTTTCAATCAAATTAACACCAATCCCTTGTCTCTATCCATTCCACCGAACACGTCCCCATTGCCCAACATGGTCAAAATCGCAATTGCAGGCGGTGCTGGAAGTAGGTTTCCCGCGGATCATACCGACTGGATGAACTAGCATCTTTCCAGACGTAGGGCAAGAGTGCATCGATGCTCTCCTCGCCACGAAGAAGCACGAGATTGTGATTTTCACACGCAAGGTCATTACCACGTGTCTCTCACCTTACTTGATACTGACATGTCTTCCAGGACGTCCTCGCCGAGACTACCGACTCGCCCGTCAAACTAGTGAAAGCCAACTACGAAGACGTGGTAGAACTGACTAGTCATCTACAAGGCGTAGACGTAGTACTATCTTTCATTGCGCCACTGGACCTGCAACAAGGGGTTACCTTCCAGAAGAATCTCATCGATGCCTCAATCAGGGCTGGTGTAAAGCGTTTCGTACCCAGCGAATGGGTCTCGTAAGTCATTGCAATCGCCCACTCTTCCGCGCTTGCTAACCATAATCCAGATCCACCTTAGAGCACACGCCGTGGTATTCGTTCAAAGACACGATACGCGAATACCTAGCCGAGATCAACAAAGACAGAAAAGTCATCGAGTACACTCTTTTCCAGCCTGGTCTCTTTTCCAACTACTTAACCGTTCCATACAAGTCAGCCAAACATCTCACGCCGCTCCGGATGATTTACGATTTCGAGAATCGTAGGGCCATCATGCGAGAAGGCGGGGATGACGATACCATCGTCTTGACTACGGTACAAGATCTCGCCGGCGTTGTCACGCGGGCAATCGATTACGAGGGCGAATGGCCGGTCGTGGGCGGCATTCGAGGCTCGCGCATCTCCATCAAGGAGCTCATTGCTCTTGGCGAAGAAATAAGAGGTCAGTCCTTCGCCTTCTTCCAGCTCAGATGAGCCGTGCCGCTGTCTGCTTGTTTACTAATAAGATATCACAGGTGGACCCTTTGCCATCGAAAGACTCTCCAACGAGGACTTGAAAAACGGGAACTGGACTGCCTCCTGGTTACCGGAATTTGAACATAATGCCGTCCCACCGGCGATGGCTGGGGAGATGGCAAAAATGGTACTGATTGGCTTCACTAAGGCTTTTGGGGCAGGTGCCTTCGATGTGGGAGATGAATGGAACCGATTGTTGCCCGATTATGAGTTCACGGATGTGAGGACGTTTTTGCGCAAGGCATGGGAGGGGAAGCCGTGATAAGACAGTCGAATGAACCATGTTGCGCAGCCGGTCTTCGGGGTAATGCGATGGCGTAGACTAACTGCAGCAGTAGTAAGTTTCTAATAGCGAAAAATGTACTGTCTCTACTGTGTAACCCGTCCGGAGCTTTCGTCCGAGATTTCGGCCGAATACCACTACCCTACTGCACCAGCGACTCTTGTCACTTCCCTCCCCAACCTCCTTCAACACACAATCGAATATGCACGCGTCCCCCTCCCCGTCACCTGAGACTAACTCCCATGAAGATGAAAGAGCGGCGAAGCGGCGTAAAGTACGTAAAGGTACTCAAAGTTGCTGGGAGTGTAAGAAACGGAAAGTCCGATGCATCTGGGCATCACCTACCAAGTCCAAATGTAGTAACTGCGTGAGACGCAAGACAGACTGTGTTAGTCAGGAGTTTGCGGATGAACCGAAAGAGAACAAGAGAGGAGATGCTGGATTAGAGACGCGTTTGGGTCGGGTGGAGACGTTGCTTGAGCGACTTATTGGATCGTCGACAGACAGGCGCCACGACATCGCTGACGAGTATCCGGGAGATGCAGGCCTGGAGAGACCGAGGAGCGTAATAGTATGTGTAGCGTGCTGGGGTCTATCCTACATTCATCTCTGACACTCACAAGGATCACACAAGAAACATCGACATGACATCTTCCACCTCCACAGAGACTACATCAACACTCATAGATCTATCGCAACAACCAAAATCAGCACTTGGCGACATATACACTGGCATATCGCGGGACCTCGTCGCAGCATGGCCCACAGCCCAAGACCTCGACTACATCTGCAAGCTACCTGTCAGCATCTCCACGCACATGCACATGAAATTAACGACATCCTCTGCCAACCTGATGAACCAGGTTCCAGATAGCCCACGAAAGATATTACAGCTACCACCACCAGGATCGCATCCAGTATTGATAGCGCGGAAACTCCTTTTACTCAGCAACATAGTGCAGGGCGCACTATCCGATGACTGTATACCCAGAAGCCAGCGAGAGCATCTTAGTAAAGTCATGGCTCATGCCATGGATACAGCAACGCGACTGGTAACCTCCAATGACGAGCTAACCGCCTCTGTTGAGGGCGTCGAGTGCATCATGATCGAAGCCATTACCCAGAACTACGCTGGGAACCTGCACCGCGCCTGGCTGACTGTGCGCCGCGCCGTTGCCGTAGCGCAGATGTTGGGTCTGCATCGTGGCAATGCTAAGCGAGCTTCTATCAAGGTGGTGGATCCCAAGACGCGCGAGAGCCTCGATCCAGACCAGCTGTGCTGTCGCATTGTGGAGATAGATCGCTACCTCTCGTTGACACTGGGGCTGCCGCAGTCTTCGCTGCAGACAGTCGGGCTGAGCGCTGAAGTTATAGCAAAGTGCCATCCGCTAGACCGCATCGCCAGGCTGCAATGCGTCATTGGAGATCGTATCTTGGCGCGTAGAGTAGGAGAGCCGCGCGATGTTACGGAGAAAAGGGTCCGGGAAATTGACGACTTGTTCAAGGAGGTGACGGAGCTGATGCCGTCGGACTGGTGGCTTATTCGAGACTTTGACAACAAGGACGGGGGCGATCCGGATCCGATGCATGAGGTTGTAAGGAATATGTATCAGCTGTCGCACTTCTATCTCGTTATACGCCTGCATCTACCGTATGTTCTTCGCTCGTCGGGCGACGATAGGTGCGAAGAAAGTAAAGCGACAGCTGTGCATGCCGCCCGCGAAATCATGAGTCGATACATCGCGTTTCGCAAGTGGAAACGCGGTCCGTATTATTGCAGAGGAGTGGACTGTCTGGCTTTCGTCGCCCTCATGGTGCTGTGTCTGGCCCATATCGATTCGCAGAACCAATTGATGATTCGGCACAAAGCACTTTTCGATCATAGCCGCCCGAGCGATCGCGCTCTGATGGAGCTAACGGTCAAGGTATTGGGGGAGAGGAGCGACGATGCTCTCGCCACGAAGCTATCGAGTATCATACAGTACCTTCTCGACGCCGAAGCAGCATCGGCAAATGGAACTGGCTACAACACTTCGGCTAGTGAGACAGACGATGGGCTGGCGACGGAGTTTGATGGCCAGTTCATAGACGCTGAGAAGGCGGTCTTGCAGCTTCACTTGCCGTATTTTGGCACCATCAGCCTACAACGCAGGCTAGCTTCCGATATCCCGTTGGCTGAGGAGATGCTGTCTACTCAGGTAGCTGACCAGACACAGTCATCACTCACGGAGTGGGACAATCGGTGGTCGTTCCTTGATTCGTCGAACGATGCGGGGGCGCTTGATGACTGGACACTGCAGAGCATCAACGAAGGTCTTTTCGGGGGACTGCTTGGCGGGCTGGGAGACGCGGATTTCGACCCTGGGCTGTCTGTAGATATATAGAGGCAAGGGAGATCCAGATGTGCTATGTTGCAAAGCACGGTAGGAATGTTGCAAGTCACATTTGTACCCTTCTCTCCTGCTATCCCGCTCATTGGAAATGCATAGCGCCGCTTTCTGTGCCTCAAGAGTGTAGCCAGGGTATCCTTTTCTGGTTTGTCACTATATCGTTCACAGTACCTAGGTCGAGGTCGCCCATTCGCCCTCCTCCCAATCTCTAGCCCATTCTTCCGGCGTTCCAGGCTCAACGAACTTGATAAAGTTCAAGTGGGGGTCATTGCCGCATAAGCGAATCAGTTCCGTAAAGTTGTCCCTCACATTGTACTCGTCTTGCTGCATATCCTGCTTCAGAGGGCAGTATGTCCAAGTAGGCGGTGGAAACCCGAACATTGGACGCCGCGCAGGGTTGACAAAGTCGTTGCTCACTTGCAATCTCTCGCTATAGAAGCCTATGTGTCGTACAGCTATAACGCTGGAGCGAGGCAAACGCTTCAAACGGAATTCCGTTATCAAATTTAGGAATTTGATGAGGCGCGCGTATTCTGGCCCATTGGAGTTCAACATGACACCCGATAATTGAACGTTGCCCTCATCCCAGCACTGTGAGTGGCTCTGTCCAGTCTTGAATCTCATGAAGTCCTTCAGACACCAAAAAAGGCTGTTCGCGGCAGGCCACACCCCGTTCTTGTGTCTCGTCAGGGTCAACAAACTCTGCTTGTCGACGATGAGACGTAGTGGCTCAACTTGGAGAGCTTTGAGCTTGCGGTCGAGAATAGGCTTGCACTCGTCGTGGATCGAACAAGAAACGAGAAGTATCCCGGTCGACATCGATTTGACAACTAGTGTAATGGTGTTTCCAGAATGTCTTACCGTGTCTTCCCAAACGTGATGGCGTGTTGTAATGGGGATGTATTCGTAGATGATAAGGCGCAATTCTTTCGGAAGATCGAGGAAGCGGAAAGTGGAATTGGCCATAGTGGAGATGAGGTGGAAAGTGGGGTGGGGTTAACTGCAGCGACAGAAGAACAGAGAGGCAGGCGCGACGGATGAGATATTTCCCTGCCCAAGTGAGAAGTTACACTATATCAGGCCTAGCGCATCACGTAAGGGAGGTGCGAAGTACAAATACGTTCAGCACGGCAAGCACAATCGAAGAATATTAACAGCTGAATCACTGCAGTTGAAATTAGACAGACTGCAATCTCAGTCAACAGATTGCTACATGTACAAACGTACATTCTCGAATCTGTTCAAGCAAGTCCTCATGGACATGGTATCCTCCAAAACCGTAGCTCTGTGCTGTAGAGCAATTATTTTAAACGCCGGGAAATGCAATCGAACAACGCCAGTATACGTGGATGGAAATCATGCTCGTCGTTTGCCGATACGGCCGGGGCCGCTGGGACGTCCACCGTTGGGCTTCAGTGCGCCCTTGCCTCGCGAGGTAGGGAAGGAGACCTTGTTCTGGGGCTTGCGTCGCAGTTGTTTCCGGGTCTGGCTCTTGTCCTTGGTTTTGCGCGAGCTCGAGCTCTTCGCAGAGGTGGCAGTGGCGTCGACGTCCATATCTAGCAAGTCAAAGTTAGCCCTTGATTCTCACTCTACCAGTGCGGAGGAAGCGGGTCAAAGGCGAATTTGAGATGGCCGTCATCGGTGAAGCCCAGGATGTCTGAACACAGGCCTAGGTGGAAACACAGATTCCCGAGTTCGCAGTCCTCTTCTGCGGGATCGAGTGGGCTTGCAGAGGGATCGGATAGGGAGCGTGGTATGGGGACAGTAAGCAGAGACGAACCTTTGGGCAAGTCCTCCTTGGCGGCATCGTCGGTGGTGTTGGCTGGGACATGATTAGAAGGTGCATATGGCGGGAGACGGCTGGGCGACTCACTTTCTTCGGTTTCCATCTCAGTCCTCTCGGGCTTGGGCTGGGCAATCGTCTCGAGAAGTTTGGCGTGCAGGCGCTCGGCGCGTGCCTGCTCGACGGGGCCGAAAACTCGGGCGCGCAGCTTGGTGCGGTTCGCCTTTTTGCTGCTTGCGCGTGCGCCTTTGGCCATTGTGCAGAGAGTGACGGGGAATGTGTGGGTGAATGGGTGTTTGGGCGTGTGTCTTGGTCAAGTCGGCGGCGGCTGGTGGGGAAAAGTTCGAGGAATTTTGGTGGCAAGGCGTTTGGCGTATCAAGCCAGGCCGGCCCGTGCCCTGGTCGCGTTCTTCGCCTAGTTGCAGGTGACGCTGACTTCGGTATATCCCAGCTGGAGATGCGCTCGCCGCGAGAGCCGCCGCCTACCTCGACGGCCGAATACTAGAAAAGTCGCATTGCGGCCTCTGCTCGCCTGTTTGCTGCTCCGCGACCGTCCCGCCCGCCTGTCCTGCTCGCTCTGCATTGCCGCCGGGGGCTTTGGGAAGTTGCGACCAACGCCCGTCCGACTCGACTGCACCTCAGATAGCCGGATATCGCCCTTCGCTGCCTTCACCTCGCCCTACGTCACCCGCCCGAGAGAGAGTGCCTGAGATAGCCCGCCCCAGATGCCTTCGCGAGCAAAACTGAACCGGTAGCCCTTGACCTCCCTCTCCAACACCGCCAGCCTCTCCACCGCGACGGCACAAAACCATGGCGACGAGCATGCAGCAGATGGCTGCCACCATCACCGAGCGCTCCAAGACACTCATCAACAACGACCTCAAAAAGATTCTCAAAGAGGAGGGCACCTCGCAGACGGGCAACAAGGCCGCACTGCAAGCGCGCGTCATTGGCCGTAGGTATCTCCGCTCCCCAGCAACACGGCTTGCTGTCGCCGCTCACCTGCTAACTTCACCCTCCCCAGTCATCGCCAATGCCGTTGCTAGGAGCGACACCGACCTGCTGCGGCGACTGCAATACCGCGTGCAACACCATGGCGAAGCGCCTCCACCGGCCACGAGCAGTCCCGTCGCCTCCTCGTACTCGCAGCCCCCTCCGCCCATCGCGAACGGGTACAGCATGGCCAACGGCTTCCAAAGCAACGGCGCATACCAGCCATACCAACAGCCCCAGCAGCCACCCATGCCGCCACGCCCGACCTATTTCTTCAAGGAGAGCCCTTTCTTCGAGATTCGCGAGCTGATACTAAGTAATATGTCTCTGGACGCTTCGCCGACCCACCGTGCCACCATATCGCGTAACCTCACCCTCAACGAAAGCCAGTCCGGACGCCTAAAGACAGACCCGTCTTTGCGCCTGCTGCTCTTCTCTGCGCTCGAACAGCCATTGGCGCCCTTCTCGCGTCTCGATATCGCATTCCCATCTCAAATTGAGGTCAAGGTCAACGACGACGAGGTAAAGGCGAACTACAAGGGGTTGAAGAACAAGCCAGGCTCTACGCGCCCCGCTGACATTACCGACTTCGTCCGCACCAAGGTCGCCAACCAGCGCAACAGCATCCTCATCACCTACGCCCTGACCCAGAAGGCAAGTCGGTCGGAGGTTTCTTATCCCATCAGCTTCCCAAACCTGACTCTGAGCTAACTCTCAATGCAGAAGTACAACCTCTTCGTCTACTTGGTCAGGAAGTACTCAGTCGACGAGCTCACACAGCGCATTAAGCAGCGCCACGTCATCACGAGGCAGTCTGTGCTCAATGAGAGTATGTAGTGGCCCTTGGCAGCTAACATCCCTCACATGACTAATGTTGTAACAGTGATGAAGAAGGCAAATGACCCCGACATCGAAGTTGGCTCCAGCGTCATGTCGCTCAAGGACCCAATCTCTACCCTGCGCATTGTCACCCCATGCAGGTCGACTGTGTGCACACACAACCAATGCTTTGACGCCGACTCATTTCTGCAGCTCCAGGAGCAAGCTCCCACATGGACATGCCCAATATGCAGCAAGACCATATCATACGAAGGCTTGGCCGTCGACCAGTACGTTGAGGAAATCCTCAACAAGGCCCAGAACACGGACCAGGTCACCATCCAGCCAAGCGGACAATGGTCGACCGAAAAGGATGAGAAACCCAAACAAAACGGGCACAATGGGCATCATGACGATAGTGATGATGACCTCATCGAGATACCAGATTACCGTATACAGGCCATCAAGACCGAAGCTGCGCCGACACCTACTTCGCTCAGCACCCCTCCACTGCCTTCTCGCGAGACATCCACAGCCCCCCGGTCTGGCCAGAAGAGAAAATCCGAAGTAGTGGATCTGACCTTGAGCGATGATGATGAGCCAGTAAGACCAACGAAAAAGGTAGCGTACACTACCCCCAATAGCCTTCCTGATCCGCCCCGTCGGTATCATTTACCTCCCCTCGGCAGTCACTCTGCCCATAGTCGTCCACTGCCACCAACCTACCATAGTGGGTCTGTCAGCATGCGTTCTGATTACTCCCGGCCTCCATCTACACCTCCACCACGCCATGGGTATCAATCCTATCGACCAGCACAGCCTGCTTCGCGGCCTAGCTATCCTGGACAGGGTACTTCCTCCTACCCTACCTACCTGGGCTCTTCTTCCCCTTAATTACATGTTGCGCGTTCTTGTTGTATCTTCCACTCATGTATGAGTATTGTTCATCCGCTAATACCACCTCGGGATCGCAGGGCAGAATAACGGGGACCAGACGAGGTAGCACATCATCCACTTAGGCCGTTCACAATATTGCGGACCGTTGCGCCACGTGGCGGGCATCCTGCGTAGGCTGATGAAGTGAAGCTCTCTACATCATACACTCATCTCTTTCCTAATTTGTCAAGGAAACTTAGCGCGAGGCGTTTGGGGGAGGCTGCATTTCATGACCATCTATCTACGGCGTAAAACACTGGTTGGGGGCATTGAGGATACCACCGCTTGGGATACTTGCATGCATTTCGGGAGCTTATACCAGCGACCTTCTGCAATGACGAAAGGAGCAGAAGTCGCGTTCGGAGAGGACTGAAAGGAGGTGGCGGTTCATGTACGATCGTGTAGCAGTGACGCCTTTTGGCTTCGGCCATACTAGACAGTTACCAGTATTACCGTGGGTGCTGTCCGGCGTTTCCATTTTCCTTTATTTGCGCTTACGTATCATACACGCCGACGTACTCAGTCCAGCGGTTCCGGCAAAACACAAACAACATCCTCCTCTTCCCCGTCATCCCCAACCCTCTGCCTCACCTCCCTACTCTCCAACTCCACATCATCCACATCCGGCTCCTCCCCCAAGCCATCCACCACCACCTCACCCTTGTCCTCAACCTTCCTCCTAACCTGCGTATCAAACAACGCACCCTTATCAAACAGCCTATCCGACTTGACCCCTCCCTTCCTCTTCACTTTAACCTCCCTTATCCTATACGCAAAAACAAAGTCCTCCGCCCTCGTACTCTGCTCGCTCGTCCCGCTCTTCCTCTTCCAATTCCCCTCCGGTCCCACCGAAATCGGTACGCCAGACCACGCTGTCGCATCCACACCCGCATGCACATAGACGCCTTTTTCCTGGAGCCGTTCCCTGGAAAGCGTAGTTGACGACGCTATCATAACACCCGTTATGATGTAGATCTTCTCTCTGAATCGGTGCTGCGTGATGTAATCCCTAACATCCTCATGCCCCACCACGTCTTCCAGAAACGCGCGGCTGGGTTGGAAAGTCTGCGTCGTCATTTTTTCTACTTGCCAGGTTTGGGACACGGATTTATCATCGCTGATGCTTATGTCTGCGCCGACACCGAGGACGCATTCGAGGAAGGAGGTCCAGATGCCGAAGGTGGTGGATGTGGATTTGGTGTGCGTGCCGCTCCAGTTATGTTCCGTGAAGGTGCTTGTGTCAGTTTGGGGCGGCAGGGCAGGGAGGTGGAGGGGTTCGTCTGGTTGGGATGGGGAGGGGATGATAGCGCCGAGGCGGATGGGGCCATCGGGGGAACTAGGGCGTGGTGGGGTGAGGAAGTATGTGGGTTTTGGGGTAGCCATGGTTCGTATGGTACTGTGAGAAGATACTCTTGAAGAGTGATGACGCTGTTGGCGACTCCGTGATGGTAACCAGGCACCATATATATAGTGAAGCGCTAGGTGCAGATGTACTAGACATGAGTCGAAGTATGCATGGTAATGCAGGGTTACGTGTGGATGCATGACCCGTGGGGCTGAGCAGCGCATGCAGCTACTGTCCAATCCTGGCGGGCTCACTTCTGCACCGAGCAGTGTCCACTCCACAAATTCAAAATCGGCTTTGAGAGGTCGCAACAGATGCTTCGCTGATCAGAGCTTCATGAATAGCATCTTCGCCATGCCTTGTGTGCGAGGGGCAGACTATCGTGGTTTTAGTATGTGCAATTGAGAGACTGAGAGGGGAGAAAATACCCTTTCCCTATGGCTGCCGCTAGAACCAGACATCGAATCAAGCTCTACTCTAGGGTGTCTCTCAGGACGCGGTGGTCCTCGACTCTTCCTTAGCGTATAGTTACCATCTTCTTCTCTTCTGAAAGTTGCTGATCGATGCGGATGTTTAGAAGGCCGGGAAGGTTCGACAGGAAGCTGGTAATATTCCTGGGCAGCCTGAAAGTATGCCTGGGGTGCCGCTTGGGGTGCCGCCTGGGATGCTGCCTGAGGTACTGCTTGCGCTCCTGCTTGAGAGGGTACTGCTTCGTATAATACTTGTGGTGCTGCTGTCTCATGTTCGGGGGCCTGGAGTCGAGCAGGTTCTGGGATATATCCCCGATTATATGGTGCAGGAGGAGCCTGGAGACCAAATCTTGTAGCTATTGAACGAACTGAAGGAGCTGCTGCAATAGGTGGTGGACGCCGTATCAAACCAGATAATGGGCCAGGTGTTGGACCAGATGTTGGGCCAGGTGCTGGACCAGGTGTTGGACCGGGTGCTGAACCAGGTGTCGAACCAGGTGGTGGACGCCGTATCGCACCAGATGATGAGCCGGGTGCTGGCCCGGGTGCTGGGCCAGGTGTTGGGCCAGGTGTTGGACCAGGTGTTGGACTGGGTGCTGAACCAGGTGCTGAACCAGGTGGTGGACGGAATGGTGAGGTCACTACTGGAACTGAGCCACGGGCACTAGGTGGTGGTCTAACTGGGGCAGGAGT